TCCCAAGAAATATATTTGTTGACAGAAAGTGTCTTAAAGACATCAGAGGACAATGTTCTCATCAAATTTTTATTCTGTAAATGACAAAATCGTTTGTTTTCTGATCGACTTTTTGTGCTGTACAGTCGTCATTGTCCATTCAGGTGAATGGGAATGAAAATGAAAAGTGGTGCCATGTTCTTTTACCAATTGATTATGTGCCTCTTATTAATGCTCAGAGGTAACTGAATATCCTGATCAGACCACATGCAGATGGTCATGAAGGAACAGATTAGTGTTAAACTTTGAGCGTCTTAGAGTTTAATAACAGGAAATGTAGGTCCCAACACTTTCCCACTACGTTATGGACATTATGAGAGATCCTTATCAGACTTAGACTTAGACTTAGACAGTACTTTATTGATCCCTTGGGAAGACTCCCTCAGGAAAGTAAGGTTACCAGCAGCTTAAAGGGCAAAAAGTATCAAGTTAGAATTAAATTAGGCAAAAAAATACAAATAAACAAATAAAAATACAAAAAATACAGATTAAGTACAGTGTATGTAATATCTCATTTATCAGTTTAAATGGCTAAGAAAAAACCCAATCAGAGCAAAAATCAGTCAAGTGTCTCCCAGTATGGGATGAACTGTAACAAAACAAAGCTCTAAAATGTTGTGATTTGTGTCTAAAAGCAGTAGATGAATGTGAGGCTGAGCTGGTGGCTGTTTTCTCTATTTTCTCTGCTCCAGGCAGAGTTTGAGCGGCGGCCGGAGTGGGGCGCCTCCTTCATGCGCCTGGCCCGGCGCTGTGAGTCGGTGCTGTGCTGCCGCGTGACGCCGGCGCAGAAGGCCGACGTCGTCAAGCTGGTCAGGAAGCACACCGGCTCGGTCACCATGGCGATCGGCGACGGGGCCAACGACGTCAACATGATCAAGAGTAGGTTTGTGGGAAAACGAAACCTTTCCTTCCCTGTGTCTCCTAGTGCTGCTTTTGGTGGGAACTGTTGGGCTTCTGGAAATAACTTCAGAGTCCGGTCTGAGCTGTTTGGAAAGCTGGGAGATAACTGTTGTTGTGATGTGGTGCTATAGAAATAAAATTAAACTTAATCTAATTTAATTTGGGGAATTATGGGATGATCATCCTCAAGTAGCTCAAGTGAAGGTGCTGCAGGGAAAACTCTGCTGAGGCAGACTTAGTCGAACAAAAACAAAATAATGTAAATTAAATAAATAAATGAATGATTAAATAAATAAATAAGTAAATAAATAAATAAATAAATAAATAAATAAATAAATCTTTTCTTAAAGAAATAAATAAAAATAAATAAAAAATAAAAAATAAAAATAAATACAAATAAATAAAAATAAATAAAAATAAAATAAGATAAAAATAAATAAATAAATGAAAAAATAAATAAATACATTTAAAAAAGACTTGGTCGAACAAAAGAGGATTTTATTGTCAGCCAGGTCCTAGTCAGAAGTACAGATTGATGCATCAAGTCTGTGGAGGAAAACTCTGTCCTACTCTGGGTGTGCCTGCCCTTATATTTGGTATCCCATATCTGTACTTTTTGTCTTACGTCAGGCTGTTTTCATCTAGGCGTGCAGCCCGAATATGGTTTTATCCATATCATAAACCTTTTCCTTTTCTGGTCCTCCACCAGGCCGTCTCCCTCCAGACGTACAGCTAGAATATATTTTATCCATATCATGAACGTCTCCTTTTTTTGTCCTCTGGCAGGCCATCTCCATACTTCCTCCATATCTTAAACATCCTCCCTACTCTCTACTTTAGGAATGTGTTTTCTCAAATGTTTACGCTCTACGAACAGAACAGTCTGTGCTTCACTGTGAGCTTCAGACTGTACAGACTTTTTTCTGTCCGTGTCCCTGACTCCAGCGGCCCACGTGGGGGTGGGGCTGGCCGGGGTGGAGGGGGGCCAGGCCGTCCAGAACGCGGACTTC